CCCCTGAATTCGGCATTGTGCTTCCCATGAATCAAATAAAGTCGATAAGCCGTCCGCACATAAGACAAATAAGAACGGTGATAACGGATTGCCTTGATGAATTCTCCGTTTGGGATAAACCAACCTCATACGCTCCCCATTCAGTTTGAACGAATAAGATTTTGTAGACACATACATCATTATCCAGTGTGTCCATTCCTCCACAAAACCCAACCTTATCATAATTTGTTCCAAGAAACTCCATTCAATACGATCATAGGCCTTCTTGAAATCTAGCTTCAACGCCATCACCCCATTCAACCCATTATTCTTCCTATGCATAAAATGTGCAATCTTCGAGGCCACTAGACAATTATTAGAAATTAGCCTTCCTGGTATAAAGGCACTTTGTGAAGGAGAAATAATTTTCGGAAGAATGACCTTCAGTCTGTTAGTAAGAACCTTAGAGCAAATTTTATAAATCACATTACATAGACTAATCGGCCTAAGCTCAATCGTCGCTGTGGGATCAACATTCTTTGGAATCAAGGTGACATGGGTATAATTGATTTTCCTAAGCATATGACCAGATGAAAGAATGTGCCTTACCCCATCACACACATCTTGGCCGACAGTCTCCCAATGCTTCTGATAAAAACCCAGTGATATACTGTCAGGTCCTGGAGCTTTAGTCGGATGTATTTGAAACAATGCCTCCTTAATTTCATCATTGGAGACCTGCCAAATAAGCTCATGGTTCATCTCTGCTGAGACTGTGGAGGTCACAACCCGCATAATTTCTGACGCATCCGTTGCACCCTGAGAGTTAAACAACTTCGAGAAATAATCGACAGTTACCGCTTCCATACCCCTCTTGTCTTCATGTCACACCCCGGCCTCATCATATAACCTCGACAAAGCATTCATACGTTGTCTTCGATTAGCCTTCTAGTGAAATTTTTTTGTATTTTGATCCCCAAGTTTTAACCAATTTTCCTTTGACCTCTACCTCCAGAACGCTTCCTCTTATGCCAATAAAGATTGTAACCGAGTGTTTAATTCATCTCGTTGTGCTATAGTTGTTTCAGTAAAGGGCCTTCCAAACAATGCATTCAACTTATCTTGCGTTTCTGAGATCTCCCCCGGAATTGAACGCTTCATTGTTTTTGCCCAATTAGCCAACTGTAATTGTGTTGCCTTAATTTTCTCCATGACCCGAAACATTGGGGAACCATGAAACTCCGTTGCCCACCCTTGTTGGACCGCAACTACACAACCCTCCTCCATCGACCACCCTTCCTCATACCGAAAGGTTTTCTTGAATCTAGCTTTGTTCTTTGGCATCCATTCAACCATTATAGGTATATAGTCAAACGAATTTGGTTTCAAATGAGAAACTCGAAATCCAGGAACCACATCCATCCACTTTTGCGATGCTACAACTCTATCTAATCTTACTTTGATTCTCCCACACCTCGTAGTGACCCAAGTAAATTTATTTAAAACATACCCTAAGTCTTGTAACTGGTAGCTTGTTAGTGCATTCTGGAACCCCTCCATTTGGCGTTCACTTCGTATATCACCTCCTTCATGTTCCTCAGCACACAAGATCTCATTGAAATCCCCCATGCAACACCATGACAACTCCGAATTGTCACTCAGCCTTTAAAGAAAACTCCATGATTTATGCCTATTCCTCCAATCTCCAAATCAATATTTAGACTTTATTATTTTGTCCTTTCCTTGATTAATTAGTTGATTAATCAGTATTAAATAGTGTGTTTCTTTTGCATGAAGATTTAAGCGTCAGTAATCATGGGGATTTGGCGTAATTAGACCGGCTGCTTGGTTTCAAGTGTCGTATGTTTCCTTTTTATTTTATTTTTGAGAAATGTTAATGGAATTCTCTTAAAATTTTCGTGAACTTTTTGCCGCTTCACAGTTTAATATCAATTTATGTGCTAATATTATAAAATATTATGCTAAAAACATGAGAATCTATTGAAAAGCTCATTTTTTAGCAATTTTTTTTGTAAAAGTCTTATGTTTCCTTTGTTAGTTTTTGGCTTGTATTTAACGAGTTCAAATTATCTGTACTAATTTTGTGTGTGGCCTGACCTCTTAATGGACTCTATCAGGTTGACAAGGTTAATAAACTTAACTTTTTAACTTTTTTTGTTACAAACTTAACATGTGTCAATCAATGATATAAACCATAGAAAATCACACACAAAATGAATGCAGAAGATTTAATCTCGTAAATAACCTATCACTGGCTGGCTGAAACAACAAAGTGGCAAACATGTTTGCATATAGATTCAGTGTACTTTAATGGGATGACATCTTTACTAACTCATGTCTAAGAAAAATTAATTGAGGTGTCTCACACATGATATTCAAGATTGCGTACTTATTATTAGACAAGCGGGAAGATTTATACACACCTCTTTTATTTTCTCCCATTCTTCTGTATTTTCGGCCATTATATTAAATAAATCAAGCAAAAACAATGATCCTAAGTAAATAAAGTTGTATAACAAACAAAAATGACTTGTGTTTGTTATTTCTTATTAGCCTGATGCTATTTTCTTATTGAAACTTTTTCCCAAATGATTTTTTTTTTCCTTCTTTTTTGTTGGATTTCAACTGATTTTTTGGAAAAGCAGAAGCATTAAGCAACTTACTAATCAGGGCAATGGGAGGTTACCGAAGCAGATGAGAAATATTTGAGGCCTGTGGAAAATGAGTGCATTTTTGCTTACCACCATTTAGTATGGTGTATACTTACCACCTTATTTATCATCATTAGATGAGTTTGAATTTTGAGATTTGTGCATATCTACTACACGAATCTCAAAATTCAAACTCATTTAATGATGATAAATAAGATGGTAAACATACACTATATTAAATAATAGTGAGCAAAAATACTCCCATGGAAAATGACGGGAAGAGACGGGAGAAATTAACATGATGAATCGGTGATAAGAACATGTCCTCTAAGCATGCGGGGCATTAATGGAAATGTCGTCTCCATTACTCCGTTAACCGTCAACGTCTGTGTCGTGTCATATTTGAAATTACCAGCTGATGGCCCCACCGACCACCTGCAGATGAACCAGACCCGACGACAACACCATGCAGTTCAGTAGTAGACACATGTGTAATGTCCATATACATATCAGTTGGGCTTGTGAGACGCAACCCTAAAATAACCATTACCAATGTTAATATGCTTGAAATTTATTGCATGTCTAGTTAATTTGATATAAAGCGATATAAAAATAATAAGTTTTGAGCTAATTTATTAACTATTCAAGTCATTGTTGAGTTACTCAGTAATAATTGTGTGACGAATCGAGTTATTATTGGATAATCCGTTGAGAATCTAATAAAATTAGTGGCGGAGCTAGAAGTTCGTCTCAGAAGAGGCCTTTAAGATATATAAAAGAATTTACATCAAAACATAGCAAATAATTAATTTTAAGGTTTTTATTATGTTTTATTGCATGAAAAATTTATGAAACAAGAGTGATAAGGCTTCAAAATTTTTACAAAGGGTATTGATGATAAAACTTTTTACAAGCTTTAATAAAAAACCAAGATTCGAACAAAAATATAAGATCGTAACTTAAAACTATTACTATGAGATATTAATTTCAACATAATTAATTGAACTTTAACTTGTATATAACTGTCTTATATGAAGAGACGGAAAAAGGAATTAGCTTTTATATGGTGAAACAAAAAGCTATTGACAACGACTTTCAAACCCTGGTGGAATTGTCAAATTGCGCTACCCAATGCACCACAAGCTCTTTATCGCCAAACTTAGCAGACAATAAATATAGGGATGTGCTATCCACACACCTCATTTTACTTCTCACACACCCTTGATAATTTATGTCCGTTGATCTTTTTCAATTCATCCGATTTGACGGTCGAAAATTAAAAAGGTGTTTAAGAAGTAAAATGAGGTGTGTGGATATCACACTCCTAAATATGTATTAGTAAAATTTCAAGATAGGTCTAGGCCTCACCTGGAACCCATGTGGCTTTGCCCCTATCATAAAATAGTGGGTATAACATGAGAATGACACAAATACGACCTATTTGTCAGGTCTAGACATTAGGCGTTTCAATTTCTTGTATGACTAGTTAACCTAACATGAAACGACACAACTAACAATGAATCGGGTCCCTATCGGTTCACCTATTAAAAATTCATTAAGATAATGAGTTTGGCATGACACGATCCGTAAAAATAATAAGAATGACATAAAAACGACACAAACACGATCCGTTTACCAGCTCTAGATCGATTCTATGAATGCAAGTTTGTCCGAAGCTATTAGGCTGAGGGCATGTTTGCCCGGGCATTACACATCCTTACACTTGCCCTCCCTAACTCCTTTGGGAATTTGAGGGAAAATGATAGCCTTATGCGCACTTTGCCTCACGGATGGCTTAGATGCCAAGTCTTGTGCATCGAACACCATAAAGCTGGCGGAATCAAACTGAATAACAATAGTTCAGTTTGGCTTGGTGTTTACTCATAGTGTGAGTTAAAACCCGATCAAATTCGTACATGGCATAATTTGACCATAATTTGTGTGTGCAACTAATCTAAATCTAACCATGCCAACCCCAAGAGAGAATGTTGTGACATAATATTTTCGGATCTAATTTGAAAACCAAGATAACCACAAGCTCAAAGCCCATTTGTATCTAAACCAACCCAAATTCGTGGGCCTAAAGATAAATGGGCCGGAAATCTCCCTATTCAAATCTGTAGGCTCCAAAATTGAGAGTTTTAACCAAATACTCCTGATACTCTTCATTTTTAATGTTGAGAGTATTTTTATTTTAAAAAGTCACTCTTAAACACTATACTATTCACTTACAACACATTTTTACCCTTTTCGTTAAATCTCAAAATTTTCGAACCATTCTCTCGTTAGTTTCTGCCAAAATTATCCACGCCCGAAAAAAGTCCAACTATTTACGGATAAGGAAATGCACCGTGGTCCTAAGAAACGGTAACTTCGTCTTCCAAAAACCACCTTCTTTCAGCAGCGAGCTCTGAGCTTCCATTTTTCAAATGGCCGTTGCGGTAGGCAACTGCTGCTTCTCTGCGGCCACCTCCACCGTTAAACTCCGCTCCTCCGTCTCCGACCAACCTTTCTTCGCCACGTGGCTCTGTTCCGGCAGCTACCAGTACCACGCTCTTAAGCCCGTCAGCCGAAGCAATAGAGAAAGAGCTTCCAGTTCGAGAAAAGGCTTGTCGTCGCCGCCGTCCGCTGATAAATACCAACCGGAGGTTAAATCCTAACTCTATACGGCGTCCTTTGTGCGTTTTGTTTTGGTAATTAAGTAGTTTGTGATTGTGTTTGGTTTGGGAAATGCAGAGAGAAGGCGTTCCCAATAAGTTTAGCGGAAATGAGAGAGGGAAGAAGGGGAAGTCCCAATCGGTGGCGTACAGAGCGTTCGGAACGCAACGAATAGAGAGGAAGGAGTCTGTAGTTGATCAGAAAGAGCAGCAGGTTTGATAATTGTTGCACTGAATTCGTTTTGCGATGATTCAGTTTCGGGTTTGGAAAAATGCTCACTGATTGGATTTGAAACTGTGTTGATTTTTCGATTCAGGTTGAACCGAAAAGTCTCCAGGATGCTGATTTTCTCAATGCCGTTGTCAAGGTAAATGTTGTTTACCCTTCTTCCAGATTTGGTTATTGAATTTATAATGCATTGTGTCTTTGAGAAAGTTCACGGCGTCTATGTTCTTCATAAGTTTATGTTTGGAGTAGTTTATATCCATGTACCGAGCTTCGTGGTGCATGTTATGTCACCTAGGTGCTGAGCTTTTCCAGGTATTGTTACTATCCTCTCTTCAGTGTTTTTGAGCTATTCTACAACTTTGCGTTTGTTTGGGATGTCGGTTCTAATAGAAGCTCCGGAATGAATTGTCCTTGTTTTTGTCAAACAAACTATTTGCTCGCCATTGTTATAGCGTTGATCCATGGGAGTTTGGTGTTTATCAATTTTATCACTTTAATACCAAAATCTACAGATTCGGTTGGTTGCTAACAATTATTTATTTAGGTTTACTGCACCCATACCGCGCCTGACTACTCCCTTCCATGGCAAAAACAAAGACAATATACAAGTACAGGCAGGCAAGTTTTGAACTTTTATCCTATCACCCTTTTCACTAGCCTGTGTGTGTTCTAAAGAACTTATAATCTGAACCTTTCTATGCAGTGCTTTTATGATTGGTGACGGGAAACTCTTGACAAATGCCCACTGTGTTGAGCATTATACTCAGGTACTCTTCGTCCTTAATAGTGAAAAGTTAGTGAAAAAAAGGGTACATATGTGTCATTTACTTGGCACATAGAGATGCAAAATGTTTAAAAATTTATCTGGTCAGTTATGTTAACCTTGTTGCATTTTATGTGTTTTCATTAAGGTTTAGTGTGTCATTGGCCCAGTCATAGCAAAGATGTTTTAGGAAAGATGCCAACTGATTTATTATTGCTATTGTCACCATCATCAAGTTTTTATTTTGGTTACAAATGCAGGTCAAAGTGAAGAGAAGAGGGGACGATACCAAATACGTGGCTAAGGTATTCACCCTCAAGAAAATTAATAACACCTTGGAGATAGGTATCATGTTACAGCTTATTGGTAGTGGGGATTATGATTTAGCTTTACTATTAGTGACTTAATTTGCAGGTTTTGGCCAGAGGTGTTGATTGTGATATAGCTTTACTTTCGGTAGAAAGTGGGGAATTCTGGAAAGGAGCAGAACCACTCCAATTGGGAAGCTTGCCACATCTTCAGGTTATCTCCTGTCTCTTGGAGATAGTTTTATTTTGTATTACTCAATGCTATCTACAATTTGGTTATATGCACTTGCAGTAGCCCTTGCATCTTCTTGAAGGTAAATTATCTTCACAGATATCATATCTGGTTAGTTTAGAAACTAACGCAAACAGAAAACCTTTCTGAGACTTGGGTTAGTTTAGATGTGCTAGTTGAGATAGTTTCATTTAGAATATTAATTATGGAGCATAGAGGATGTGACTGCAAGTGCAAACATTGTGTGAACAGTAATTAAATTGTCACATAATTTCGGGATTTCAGAAGGCACGTGTCATCTCCTCTGTTCAAATGATTTACCTAAAATATTAATATGACGAGTTAAACTGACCACCCACATGATCGAAATCTGAGATTTAGCTTTTCAGTATTACATAACAGAATCACCCCTTATAGTACACCCTCAAAATAATGCTTAGCTTTTTTATTTCTGAAACTACAGAAGTTGAGGTTGTTATACATATATTTCTACATTTGGGAATTTTCTACAGTTCTGCTATAACATCAATTTGGTTCATCCCTTTAAAATGTTCTATCTGTGGTTTTTATAATGGACAGGAAGCAGTGACTGTTGTAGGATATCCCCTTGGAGGAGATACCATTTCAGTAACTAAGGGGGTTGTATCACGTATAGAGGTTTGGTTTTCCCTACTTGAGTGTACTTGTATGATTTGTTACTTGTAGGATATCCTTAAAAATGATATATTCCATCCTATCTAAGCTGTGTTACACAATATACAGGCTCGAGTTCTTACTATTTAATAATTATATCCTCAGGTTACATCATATGCTCATGGGTCATCTGATCTGCTGGGCATTCAGATTGATGCAGCAATAAACCCTGGTCAGTCTGTAACTCAAATTTACAATTATAACAGTCTGTTCTTCGGAAAGTCATTTAGGTGCCACAAGATTACCATCCTTCTTTATATGGCATTGTTCCTATTTTTGTCATAGCCTTTGCTTAGACTTTGCTAGATTGCAGGTAATAGTGGTGGCCCTGCATTCAATGATCAAGGGGAGTGCATTGGTGTGGCATTTCAGGTAAATTTGTTGGCATGCTGTCCACGTTTGTTTATCCCTGCGTACTCGGTCTTAGATTTCTTAGCAGCATAAGCAATATTTGTGACATATAAACTTTTATTTTATGATTTTAAGAAACACTTCCTTTAGGTCTACAGATCTGAAGAGGCTGAGAATATTGGATATGTCATTCCTACTACAGTTGTGTCTCATTTTTTGGATGACTATGAGAGGAACGGGAAGTACACAGGTAAGGAAGTCTTACCAGCTTTCATCTGTGTGAAGGGAAATCAGTTGATGCATGTGGTATATGGACTTTGTCTTGTGTTGAATTTTAGTACACACTGCTCACAATGCTCGTTCAAAGTATCAAGAAAGTATATAGGTCGTGCTTCTAATGTATATTGGAAATTTAGACTCATGTATATCTGTAACAGCAACTCTTTCCCAACTTTCAGAGTGTCCCTTCATCCTTGAACCATGGTTTTAGTAACTTGTTATGGCTACTCTCTAATTGGGCTCTTTACAAAAGGATTAGGTCATGCTTCCATTTTTCTTTCCTGTCTTCTCATAAATATCTTGTGTTCTGTGAACATTATCTACTTATGTGTGCACACATGCCTCTATTCATATATGAATATATGTTATAACTTATACTCACATCTTGTGTATTTTTCTTGCACTAGGACTAGGTGGCAAGTTTTACGTAATTAAAGCGATTGCTTTGAACACCTGTTGAACTTGTCTGTCTAATACCTGCTGCTTTCTTTGGTGGCGTATTAGTATTACTGCTATATTTTCAATCAATTGCACCTGAACGTTCTTATTATTATTTAAACCTAAAACATGACCCTGCCAACTTATGTGGACTTATCCCAATATTTTGTCACACTTTGACTTTCAGGTTTCCCTTGCCTTGGTGTATTGTTACAAAAGTTGGAGAATCCAGCATTAAAGGCGTGCCTGAAAGTAGAGTCTATTGAGGTGAGTCCCTTGTCTTTTACAATCTTTGCAAAGCCTTCATCAACTAAATTTGTTTCTTGCAATAAGAAGCAGAGATGGAGTGCAGTGACAATGTTTTCAAATAATCTTGTGAACAAGGAAATAGGAAAGGCTTTCGTTCAAGGGCACATGAGGACCATGTAAAGCATGCAGAAATTTACTAGTGTAGAAACTACAATATAGTATCAGGCCACGTTTATACGTTTTTAAAACAATAGCTTAGTAACTGTTAATTTTTCTTAGGGTCTCATCACATCTGGCTTGTGCAGGGTGTACTGGTGCGAAGAGTTGAACCCACTTCTGATGCACATAATGTGTTAAAGGAGGTATGCTGGCTATTTGAATCTTGAGTGTTCGCTGTTATTTGTATCTCTACTTATTATACAGTCAACAATGGAATGGTTAAGCAACTTTTTGGTGCTTCTCAAGCTATCAGCTTATGTTATCAATATCATATTTTCACATATCTTCAAGATATATGATGTAACAGAAGCGTAAATATGATGCGAGAAACTATTATAACCAGAAATAAAGTAACAATAATAGCATGCGTTGGATGGGAAAAGTTCTTAAGCTAGTTTTGAAGAGTTGAAAGCTAATGATGAACGGGCATTTATAGTTAAAGTAGCCATACTTGTTACTAGTGTCAGTTGTTTCACTATAAATTTATTGGAATTCAAAGCACATTGAACAATTTTGAATCTTTTACAAACTTTGACGGTTCCTGTGCTTTTCCAGGGGGACGTCATTGTAAGCTTTGATGATGTTCATGTAGGGTGTGAAGGAACAGTACCCTTTCGATCAAATGAGCGCATCGCATTCCGCTACCTCATTAGTCAAAAGTAAAACCCTGGTTCTATTACAAGAAATTATGTTGAAAAGCTGCATTTTGTTCTTCTACGCTTTCCGTTTGTTTTGGTGATAATACTTGATTTGTTGGTTAACCCCTGCAATTATCCTTTTGCATTTTAATACCTTTACTGCGCTTGGGCTCTACTTGTATTTGTGGATAAATAGAAAGGTTATACTAAAAATGCCTAAAGGCGCACCTGACTATGAAACTTATACAGACTCTAGAGTTTAAAAGTGTAAGCACTCTTGGAGAAATGAGAGTACATGAAAGTTACTACTGAAAGCTGATTCCACATTTAAACCCCTTAAATACATGTTCTAATTTGTTCACATGTGGTTAACAATCGTCCTGTACAGATTTGCAGGCGATGTTGCAGATATTGGTATTATTAGAGCTGGAGACTACATAAAGTTAAGGCAGTTTTGCACCCACGAGTGCATTTGGTAAGTCAACAGAAATTTGGTGCTTTTGGAAATGCTGTAAAGTTATGTTCCCATAATTTATCTGAATATCTTGATTCTGATTACTTTGAGCTCTTTGTGTTCTGATAAGGTTCCCTTTCATATCGATGGAGGTCAGCCTTCTTACCTAATAATTGCTGGTTTGGTGTTTACCCCACTCTCAGAACCGCTGATAGAGTAAGTCATGCTTGCTCTGGCACTCAGGAACATGTCGAATACGTTGTTTTACTAATAAAAATCTTTTGTGCTTATTACAGACTAACCATTGATTATGTTCTTCTGCAGAGAGGAGTGTGATGACTCTATAGGGGTAAAGTTGCGACACGCACTTAAGCACAAAATTCATGTTTAGCTATTTCCTTTTCGTTTGCTGACCGCAATGCACGCTTTTGGTTTGAAAATTGATTAGTTTTTCGTTTCTTTTCTGGTCAGCTTAAACTCTTGGCGAAGGCGCGCTACTCTTTGGCTAGATTCAAAGGGGAGCAGATAGTAATCCTATCACAGGTTAGCAGCCTCGATTATCATTAATCAATGTGCGGCATATGTTGAGATTGTGTTGTGGTTATGTCAATATTTGTTGTAAACTTCTCTCATGCCCTCCTCGTAATCATCATTTCGTCTCTCTTTGTTGCTTAAAATGTTTAAAAAGGTGTCATTTCTCTATGTATGATGGGAATTTCTGTTCTCATGTATTTCGTGTCGATAGGTCTTAGCAAATGAAGTAAACATTGGGTATGAAGACATGAGCAATCAGCAGGCAAGTTGCTTGTTTTCAGTTCTAACAACTTTTACATCTCTCCGCCAACGATGCTCACACTAACAGAAGAAAATGATCTCAGGTTTTGAAGTTAAACGGAATCCAAATAAGGAACATTCATCATTTAGCCTACCTTGTAGACTGTAAGTCGTAATGTCCCTCTAAATACTTCCTCTTCACTCTATCTCCCCACTCCGATGCTCACGGTTATTCTGTGCTCTTAATTAACCAGCATGCAAGGACAAGTACGTAGTCTTTGAATTCCAAGACAACTACATAACCGTGTTGGAAAGGGAAGCAGCTACCGCTGCTTCGTCCTGCATTCTCAAAGACTATGGCATTCCATCCGAAAGATCTTCCGATCTGTTGGAGCCCTACGCGGATTCGCTTGGGGACAACCAAGCAGTTGATCAGGATATCGGTGACAGTCCAGTTTCAAATTTGGAAATCGGCTTCGATGGAATTATTTGGGCATAAATAATCATTCTTTACATCTTGGAGAGGCACAAGCCATGATATGGTTGTGATTCGCCGGCCAACAGTTATTTATCGATTGGCTCCTGTCGCCGCAGCGCCGCCGTTGCAAGGTGTTCGATTTTGTAGTTTCTTAGCTAGTGTGACAATTTTGATAATTTGTATCCATAAGATGCTTCGGATAGCATGACAAATCATTGTTGTAATTGAATTATTTACTGTAACAAAAATAATGAAATGCCAATGCAAACTTCATATTATATCGGCAATATATAGGGAAATCAATAAATATTGATGATATTTATTGATTCACTATAGAAAATTTGTTGGAACTCATTGCAAATTTTGAACTTTTGAATTTTTTTTCTGAACTTTTTTTTTTTCTCTAATTTCGACTGGATCTATATATACTCACCTCATTTGCAAATTTTTATAATTTCATTGATATTTCTATAAATTTACATATTGATATTTATATACATATTTTAAATACTACTCACAACTAAACACAAAGAGGAAAAATATAAAAGTGGGACTTGGAGACCTACACCCAACTTGCACCAATGTCTCATGTCAGACCTACGCACCTTTCCAACATGACATCGCCTCATTGACTCAGACTGTTGGGTGGTATACCAAAAGTGTAGCTAACTTCTCGTGCATTTGACTCAGAATGTTAGGTGGTGTATCAGATGTTAGGTGGTGTACCAAAAGTGTAGCTAACTTCTCGTGCATTTGACTCAGAATGTTAGGTGGTGTATCAGATGTTAGGTGGTGTACCAAAAGTGTAGCTAACTGTTCAGAATGTTAGCAGAATGTTAAGTGGTGTACCAAAAGTGTAGGTAACTTCTCGTGCATTTGACTCAGAATGTTAGGTGGTGTACCAGAAGTGTAGGTAACTTCTCGTGCATTTGGCCCTTGATTTCTTCTTTTGGGACGTTATAAGAAATGACTTGATATCGTTGGATAAGTTTTGAGCATACACCTTCGATCCATAAAATCCTCTTCCCAATAGTCCCACACAATATAATCCATTCTTCCCCTTCCAATTCTAATGATTAGGGAAACTTGGTTTTGGAATCCCATCGTCTTTTAAAAGATAATCATCCCCCTGAAATAATCGTAACAAATTTTATAATCACCTTAGGCAATAAAAATTAAAAGTTAAAAACAAAATGGTTACCATACAGTGTTTGAGTAGTTACCTAAAGCCACAAATTAGTCGAACTCTTAAATCCAGTACAGAAAATGATTGCGTCAAATTGGTATGACTTTCCATTTTTCAGTTCCACTTGACCGCCTCTTATGTTGCCTATTTCGGCAGGCAAAACTTGAATCTTGCCGGATTTGATCTTTCGACAAGTACCAATGTCAATTACCGGATACTTGCTGTACTTCACCTTCATAGAAAGAGGACTCTCTTGTGGCCTCTCTTGTTAGAATTCCTTTGTCCCACATCGGCCATAGAGCTTGAGAACAGGCCTTTTAAATAGAATTACCCCACTCTAATTAACACCGAGACCTTTTGTATTAAAACCCCACACTTGACGGATTGAGCAGGTGGCCAAGTGGGGATAGTATCGGTGTTGTTGGAGTGGGGCCATGGCCCGTTTACCTGAAATATAAGATCGTATCAGAACCAGGGGACGGGCCTGTACATCTACGTGAACGGGTGGGTCCCCTTTGGCCCCGCGCAAACGGGTGAGCCCTGACATGGCTCCACGTAGGCCAAAAGATGCCATGTGTATTGGCCCAGAGTGAACGGGTGAGCCCCGGCTTGGCAACCACGTGGTTGTCGATGTGTGGAACTCCACGTGCGACCCATAAAATAGGGTCTCACATGCGGGGGAGTGTTAGAATTCCTCTGTCCCACATCGGCCACAGAACTTGAGAACAAGCCTTTTAAATAGAATTACCCCACTCTAACTAAAACCGAGGTCTTTTGTATTAAAACCCCACGCCTGACGAATTGAGCAGGTGGTGAAGTGGGGACAATATCGGTGTTATTGAGTGGGCCTATGACCCGTCTACCTGAAATTTAAGATCTCTATCCCATAGCTAGATAGGTTTCCGTAGATCAGCTTGTTAAGTAGAACCAGCAAGGAAACAGCCATGCTAAATGGAAAATATTTCAACAAAACCAAGAAGTGCATCATCCCCCTTGAGAGAAAATGGACCTGCATTTAGACAAATTAAGCAGATGTGCATTAGGTTAATTAGTCAAGGCAGTCAACATGTGCCATATTCTTGTACACTAGAGTAGTTTAAAGTATTGCCTCTGCCTCGATAGAAAACATGAAATAAATTAAGTTAAAATTGAAGCTAGGTGATGTGGTTGATTACCGGGCTTCGAACGATGATTGAAGTTTTGGCACCATGGTTTGCCAAGTCTAGTGAAATCTCCATGCCAGAATTCCCAGCCTCAACAACAAAACATTCTTATTTTCAAACTCCTTCCCAGATTTATATTTTGTTGAGTGAAGAACATTAACATTAAAACTACTTAAACCTTCAATCTGCGGAATATACGGGTCAGTTGTTTCCCCGGTAGCCACCACCAAAAACCCTCCAAAATACTTCTCTATTTCGTCGGAGCCACCAACATTTTTTGCCTTCACAATCCATTTCTTGGAGACTTGATCATATTCTGCAGACTCCACATTTCTCCTGTACATTGGTCTAATACTGAAGTGCGACACATTATACATATACTAAAAGCCAGCAAAAAAACACTGTTCATCATGTGAGAGAGGGCATTGTTCATCAACAATGAAATGGCGGATCTGCCCCTCAGTTTCTAGCTTTCTTTCTTTGTTGCACACTGAAATTACGTGTTTATCCCTCATATCCACGCGTAGGTCTGATTCTAGAAGCTGATCGTGTAACCCCCTGGTTTTGTTCTTTTTTCTCGATCTTTCTTTTGGCTTCCGCTTCTTTCTTTGTTGGCCACGCGTCTATCATCGATGTGCCTTTTGGTTGAATTTTCTTCCTCCGATACACGTGTTGCTCATTATAGTAGGGAGGAAAGATGGAAAGGCAAGCTTCCATTTTTGCTTCCATAGATTTCTCGAGCTCTTTCTCAGGCTCCCAATCAATGATTCAGATAGCATGACAAATCATTGTTGTAATCAAATTATTTACTGTAATAAAAATAATGAAATGCCAATGCAAACTTCATATTATATTGGCAATATAATATGAAAGGATTTTCCAAAAGAAAGGATTTTCCAACTCTGACAATTGTTTTCCTAAATCTGTATTTATGATGTTGTCATGCATCAATCTATCTCATGAATCTTCTTATGTTTTCAATAATTCTTTTCTGTTGCCATGTGATCCTTCAGACATATGCACTTGCATTCTTTTCCAGATTTATGGAACTTAGAGAAAAGGTATCCAAATTTTCCTTTTTCTTTGTTAACAAAGATAATTGTTGCTTATTGTTTTCCTTGGCAATCCTACTTTTAGTGTAGGTTGTCGGAAAATTCCCTAATTATTGCTTATGAGTACTAGAATATGCATTGTCGTTCTCTCTTTTCTTTCATAAATATCTATTCAATTGGAAAATAGACCACTCTTTCCCTTACCTACTCATTGTTCAAAGACTAACCCGAGTGTTTAAAGTCACGCTTTCTATGACTTTTTGTGAAGTGACAGATCAAGCTCCATTCTCAATCTGGTTAGTCTTCAATCTACCAATAACTTTAATGTCCTGTCTCCCTTCCTAATTTGTATTAGTTTAGGCTTTCAAAAATAACGTTTGATTTCTACCATTTTCTATATTGTTCTATTAAGCTACAGTGAAGTGTTGAGTGTTATACATGTTAGGTAGAATTAAGAAGTGAATTAGGTCCTCTTGAGAATACAGGGAATAAGTCCATGGGTGTTAACTTGGTGTTTAGATTGATTGTTCAATTATTCCATAAAATCTCAGTATTTACATCTACAATGTGCAATATCATCTACCAAATATTAGATTGCACTCATCTAAATAAGAGACTTTTAAATCACTGAAAAAATGTCCTCTCCAACTGGTATTAAACCAGATTCTTTTCCACCAAAAAAAGACTAGGTATCCATATTGTATCCTTATTTTTGTTATAGTATAAACTTGTTGATGTATAAACTAATTGCATGTATTTTCATATTTCATATCTTTCCTTGTCTAGGCTGCTTTCTTGACAATTAAGAGTACTGAAGGGAAACTTTAGGTGCTCAAGGGAAAAACTTCCATTTTCTTCCCTTGCCTAGGCTGCTTCCTCGATCTATTTTGTTATTTTTTTCTTATGTAGAGACAAAGGTTCAAGGAATTTTTGTATGTTGACTATGTCCGTTGAGGATTTTTTTTCAATGTAAATAATATTAATATTTTGTGACAAAATCTTTTATATCTTTGAAATATAATCTTTCTTACAATTTCTAATCCCGCATCAACGCGCAGGTAGTAATTTCTAGTAGTCCTCTAAGTACTGGATAAACTGGTTTTTGGGCACGTAAGTGGGACCAAGGCCGTCTCTGAGATTTCGGGGGCCCTATGCGAAATTCATAAAGGGGCCCTTCTTATAGGACATCTTAAAAAAATTGAACCATGTATTGATGTTAAAAACCAATATCGAAATAAACTTTAAAACTCACTAACCATCTATTTCTAAATATTATTAAATGTATAGAAACCTACAAAGTAACCATAGTACTAATAAATAACAATAAGTTCAATCTAAAGAAACCAAATAAACCAAACTTAAAGAAGTCTAGCACCGAAGTTTCACTTAAAGATGGCTCTTCGTGTATTCTTTGTTGCAAAATCATCAATTAAACCTTCACAGTCAATTTTGTCTGAAAAATCACTTTCAATTGATATCAAAACAGGTCCATGTAACCTTTCCTGCAACATAGTTGACCGCAAGTACGATTTTAATAACTTTTAACTTTGAGAAACTCATTTCTGTAGATGCAACGGTAACATGTATAGTCAACAAAATTCTGTATGCAATGTTTGCAGTCGGAAAACAATGCATCCTCTTCAAGTAGTTCAATATGTTAATGGATGTCTTTATTTCTTTTGGAAAATGCTCTCATAAAAGGTTCAACTCTACTAATAATGCATCCCCATCAACATCAAAGAGCTCATCTTTCTTGAGAAAGTTTTGAAGCCGATCACAACAATCTTTCAATTTATTATTGTCCATCGAATTCAACTGTTTTGAAGTGAACAAAAACCCAAATATATCATCATACGCTTGATATTCTTCAAACCTTC